ATGTGTCCGGGGAAAAGAGGACATATGGCAACCCAAGACGACTTTCCTGACCCCGTTTCAGTGTGAAATTTGGCAGGAAAAAGCAACTTGAAAATGCAACTGGAGGAACAAACTCACAATGTTTCAAGCCACAAATGTGAGCATACCCATGGTTTCCCCCATAGCAATCTTTCTAGTGCACTAGTAGCTGTTGGAACAATGTTTATTCACTTCAAAAAAATTCAGTGTGCAGGGATTTGGTGTTCCGATTGGCCTTATATGGTGACAGGGCTGGATTTACTGCATAATGTCCGTGAAGCGCAATGGATAAGTTGGCATCGTGAGAGAGCTCACTCATTCACTTGCAGGTACATATATAAATATTGGCCCTTCGACCCTGCCACCGATCTGAGCAGAATAAAATAAACCGCATTATTTTGTGCCAGGTACTAAGTGTGATAAGTATACACACTGAATTGTGCCCCTACGCTAAAAAATGAATAACCATTCTGACTATGAAGTGCATTTCCCCCCATGTTTTTGAATGAACAGAACTTCCAAAATCCAAGCTAGAAGTCAATGGAACAGATAGTCTCCAAACTATAATCAAATTTCAAATTTTGTGTGTTGTTTACATTTGTGGCATAAGAAGAATCTTGTGGAATACCAGTGGGAACTTTGTACAGAAAGGATCTTTTTTTATCAAAACTGGAGAAGTGATTGTTACATTGGAATGTTGCTTACAGTCTTAATGAAGAGGTTTTACTACAACATCATAATAATTTTGCATGAATTCCCCTCCTTCCCATGTGAACTGACCCCCAAACAACCCAATTAAAATTGTTCAAGGTCGTAACCATTTAACGCCAAGCAGGCCGGCGCTGTAAAACAAGATTGTCTGTATGCTGTGAGAATTGCTTCTTTCAGTAGTAGCAGGAGATTTGGGGGGGGGGTGCTGGTTACTTGGCACACATTTAGATTTCAATGCTTCACTAGGAAGCTAAATAGCCACTCATCAATCACGGAGCACCGTTGGTGTAAAAAAGAAAGTGTTTGTTTTAAATGGGCAAAACATTATGGCATTGATCGTAAGGACATTAGAAGAGCTCTGCTGGATCTACTGAAAGTTATGTTTAATTTGCTTCTAACCATGGCCACCCAAGGTGGCTCTGGGAAATCACAAGCAGCATGTGAATTTTCATATTTTTTTTCTTTTTCATTTGTTTATTAAATTTCTGTACTCATCCATAGTGATGTATGGAAGTGAGAGCTGGACCATAAAGAAGGCTGATCGCCGAAGAATTGATGCTTTTGAATTATGGTGCTGGAGGAGACTCTTGAGAGTCCCATGGACTGCAAGAAGATCAAACCGATCCATTCTGAAGGAAATCAGCCCTGAGTGCTCACTGGAAGGACAGATCGTGAAGCTGAGGCTCCAATATTTTGGCCATCTCATGAGAAGAGAAGACTCCCTGGAAAAGACCCTGATTTTGGGAAAGATTGAGGGCACAAGGAGAAGGGGACGACAGAGGACGAGATGGTTGGACAGTGTTCTCGAAGCTACCAGCATGAGTTTGACCAAACTGCAGGAGGCAGTGGAAGACAGAAGTGCCTGGCATGCTCTGGTCCATGGGGTCACGAAGAGTCGGGCACGATGAAATGAGTAAACAACAACAACTCATCCAAGGACCGCAGGGTGGTTTACAATATAAAAATACAAAACTGCTTAACAGAGTACCAAACAAAGACAATACCCTTTCAGTTTAAAAGGCTATAGATTTTTTAATTAGCCAAAGGCCTGGGAAGAGGAGGAATGTGTTTTGCCTGGTGCTTAAACATATGCAATGAAGGTACCAGACGGACCTCTCTGGGGAAAGCATTCAACAAACGGGGAACCACTGCAGAAAAGGCCCCTTCTTGCATTGCCACCATCACGGAGCAGGAACACGAGGAAGCGCCTCAGATAATGATTGTAAGGTCAGGGTCTGTTCATATGAGGAGAGGCGGACCTTGAGATATTGCAGTCCTCAGCCATTTAAGGCTGTATAGGTAAAAACCAGCACTCTGAATTGGGCCTGGAAACTAATGTATTGGCATTACATGCTCAAACCGTCTTGCATCGATGAGCAACCTGGCTGCCTAATTCTGTACCAGCTGAAGTTTCTGAACCATTTTCAGAGGCAGCCCTATGTATAATGCGTTGCAGTAATCTAACCTAGAGGTTAGAAGACAATAGTCAGCTCTTGATGCTCCTCCTGAGCACCAACTAGTAATGTCTCTGAATCTGGAGGTTCTAGTGCTCCCAATAGCCAATGGTGGCCCTATTCTCCATGTAGCTGCCTAATTCCCCTTCAAAGTCATGTATGCCAACATCAGTTGTGACCCGTTTGCTGCAATGAAGTCCATAACTTAGTAAGAAAAAGATCCACAGATTCTCTCTCACACAAGCGTACACGGTTCAGCTAAATATATTGGCAGCGCAGCCAGCTCTGACAGCACAAACCATCTGTTGGAAGAGATCCTGATACAACACCCATCCCAAGGCACATGGTCAATTTTGGCAATGCCCAATTTATATAGGCTATAGACATAGTCATCAACCAGACTTCAGTCACTACTGAGAGTGATGGATGTGGGTGTGTTACCCTTTTGCAAATGCAGGACCCGATCCATCAAACCAAGCCATTCACAGAGATCTGTATGGATCATCCTTGCTAAAGCAACATGCTCATAGGATTGTCAACCAACCAAAAATATGGTTCTGGAACTGGAATATTAATAGATAATGTGTAAAACGTGCAGGGGTAAGCAAGGAAGTAATAAAAGAATCAAAAGACTCAACTGAATAATTGGATAATTATTAAACTACAACAACACAACAAGATGGAAGAAGTACAAAAAATAATTGAGATCACACATGGGTGAAGGGGAGTGGAGGGTATAGGGGAATTTATAAAAATTTCTAATACAATATTTCTAATTACATTGCATTTATATATAGAAAAGGGAAGTCTATAGCAATTAAATGTAAAGGTAAAGGTACCCCTGCCCATACGGGCCAGTCTTGACAGACTCTAGGGTTGTGCGCTCATCTCACTCTAGAGGCTGGGAGCCAGCGCTGTCCGCAGACACTTCTGGGTCACATGGCCAGTGTGACTAAGCTGCATCTGGCGAGCCAGCGCAGCACACGGAACGCCGTTTACCTTCCCGCTAGTAAGCGGTCCCTATTTATCTACTTGCACTTAAGGGTGCTTTCGAACTGCTAGGTTGGCAGGCGCTGGGACCGAGCGACGGGAGTGCACCCCGCCGCGGGGATTCGAACCGCCGACCTTTCGATCGACAAGTCCTAGGCGCTGAGGCTTTAACCCACAGCGCCACCCGCGTCTATAGCAATTAGGTATTGTCAGGGAACTGCCATCGGAAGGACAGGAGGTGGAAGGGCTCCCAGAGGTTGAGAGAGACTTAGCAGCTGAAGAGGGAACCAGCAGGGGGAGAGAAGGAGCTCCAAGGGAAAGTGAGTCGGAGGGATGGCTCAGGGACACTTCCAGCGAAAATAGTGGGGAGGTTTCAGGACCTCCTATAGGGACACCCACTCCTCGCCGGAAACTGTCGCACAGAGAGTCCAGAAGACGCGTTTCCGTTAAGGAGCTTTTATGCTGGAAGAGATTCCGTAAGCGCCCACTGTCGGATTCTGCTAGCGACTGACGGAGCCATGCTTGAGGGGCTCCGTCGTAGGCAGAGGTTTGCGAACTTGGCCAAACTCTGAGGGACTAGGATTTTACGCACAAGCAGCTCATCATCCCATCACAGGTATATTTTAATCTAGTCAACTATATAATAGGCTTATGTTACAAAACGAATCTGGATTTTGAATTTGATGTTTGTAATTCTTTTTCAGGTTTGGAATAAAGCCATTGGGAATGACTTGCAAAAAAAGGGGGGGATTGTCAACCAACCAGTATTTTGCTAGTCTAATCTGTAAAACCATCTTCTGTCATCTAACTATTACCAGGATGTGTAGAAATAGGATAATCCAGTTTCTGCTTCTGAGAATACTTGCTCTCTGACCTTGCTGCTCTCTGACCTTGACACCCAAAATCCTGCCCTGGCTCTTTCCCTTACCCACAAGGTTTTGCCTTGGCTCTGCCCCTGACCCAGCTGCTTTTGTCTGCACTGGGTCTGATCCTGAGCCACACCCAGATATCCAGTATTAGTAAAACCAACGATGGCAACCCTAAAACGCTAATCTTCAAAAATCACTGCCATTTAAGAATGCTGGCTGGTAACTAAAATCAGTCATAATACAGTTCATAGATACGTATTGAGTGATGCACTTTTGTCCCACTGTTATGGGAGTAAGGGCTGGCTCTCACAGAACATATTCCATAACAGAAATTGCCACATTATGTTCATTAATCATAAGACAGTGACATTTCAAGTAGAGGACCCAAGGTTATGGGACTTCCTGAAATGGTAAGTGACAATAAGATGTGTCAGTCAGGGAAGGAGGGGGAAAGAATGCAATTCATTAAGCGTTCCTAAACATACAGCTTGTGTCAATGTGACAGGGATGATGGCATTGTGGCCCCGTTCGCACCTATAAGGAGAATATTTCACTGGTTTGACATGATCGCTACTGAAGTTACAGACAGCACAAATAAACCATACTTGAAATCCGTCTTCCTGGGTTTTACGATTTGGACTGTTGCTAGTGGGAATAGAGGACAGTTTTAGGTCCTGCATATATATGCCTTCATAAACTTAAGGTCATGAACCAGCCAAAGGGCCATCCTTTTTACAGCTCTTCCAAAATGCAGTGGCAGCAATTCAAGGTGTTGGTTTTAGCAAGGGCATGGCTGGGCAAAAGAGCAATTTTGGGGAATGCTTTCATTAGCACTGAAAAGGAGAGAGGTTGGCTGCTCACGAAGCACTGCCCTCCAGCTAAATAGATCTTTGTTGCCCTTCCTGACCCTGGTTGGCTAGGTTTGCCCATATGACCAGTCCAGGAAGCATCTCCCTACCTGCAACATCAGCACAAGCCCAGTGTGATTAGCTGCTTAGCATCATGGACATCATCATGTTCATAATACGAACCACGACTGTGATTGGGTGAGATCCCGTGACTGGATGAAGTCCTAATAGAAATAAAATAGAAAGAAGCAAATAATTATGTGCAAAGAGTAGGGGAAGGGCAGTGAACCATTTTGGGGGACAAAGTTAGCATTAATGGTGGTGTCAGAAAATATCCTCACCCTCCCAAAGCGCTCTTTTCAACCTGAAAACTGAAACAGGCAAACATTTGTCACAGTCTTAGTGTTAACCTCTAAAGCCGTAACTAGCTCAGGCTCTAATCCTAAACACACTTACTTGAGACAAAGGCTCAATAAAACACATGGGGCTTCCTTGCGAGTAAATGTGCATACTGTTGGGTTATAAGGCCCTACATACCTTAATACATCTGCACTGAGGGCCAACCACAATAAGCAAGATTTTACAGATTTTACTTTTGACTGTCTCATTCATGCAACATGATAAAGCACATAGAGACAAATTTCTGGGGTTCAACCTCGCACTATTGGGTCCACCTGTTGGAGATCTGCACCAGAACATTTCCCAGAAGTTGTTTATGTTGATTCCCCCTCAATGAGATAATTACATGCTGCAGATTGCTTTGGCTTGATTATCATATGGTATCTCCCACACTAAATTTAGAATAAGACATGAAACATCTATACAGATAATTAATGTTCCGACTGAAAAAACGAGTGTAACCCAGCAGATATAGAGTTAAACTTAACCCTAAAAGATGTCCTGTCCAACCTTTGCTCTCTTATCAAATGTAAAATAGTGTTAATAATGACCAACCTTAGAAGGGTGCAATAAAGTTGGACAGTATTGATGGCAAAGTATTAATCCTACAAAGTTTTATATACATTGTTTTGATTACTGTTGATTAAATGCATTAAAAACGATGCAAACACATTGAGCCTCCTGTATGTAACACATTTATTGTTGACTCTAAACTATTATGGTATAGCATCATATTTTATTTCCAACAAAATTCCATTCTCTGGTGCTGCCCTGCTTTCGTTGCTTTATCCCCAAAATATAAGCAATTTGGAAAACCTAATTCCAAAAAACACGCGCAAGGAAATCACAGCAGGAAAACAAATTATTTGCCAACTTGGAAGGTCATAAATTTATTTAAACAACCTCCAAATAGTCCCCGATCACATAAACAACCCCTGTGAACATTGTTTTTAAGAGCTAGTCTGGTTTCCCATTAACTAATGTGCCAGCCTAATTTGCTCAAATGGATATAATCCTGAACTTATGTAACAGTATATGCAACAGCTACTTCTGTTGGTGAAATGCTATACTGTATTACTTCTCAAGGTGAAACATTATCTCTGAAAAAGATTTCTCTCTCAGATCAATAAATCTTGATACTCCTGTCAGAGTCAGACAAAGGGCTTTGTTCTTAGTCTCACTGGAAAGCAAGCAAAAGTTGTAGCGAGCAGAATGCTTCATTGTTCGCTTTTCTGCTTGTCTTCTTCGCATTTATGTTGCCAGTGATTATGCAGAAGAGGAGCTGGCAACCTCTTCAGCTCCATGGGCACATTTGGAGTTCTGAGAGAGTGCCGTGGGTCACCGGTACTTTGTTCACTTGTCTCCCCATCCCCAGGCATAAAGAGAGAAAACAAACATGAAAGCTCACTTTGCTTTTCTAAGGGATCTGAGTCAAAGTACGAGAGCTGGATCCAGTAAAATTAATCTGAAAAGTACACAGAGTGTAGCAACGTCCCAGGAAATGGGCAAGAGAAACGGTGGCAGAAAGGAAAGTGAGCGAGAGGGAATGAAAGTGGTTCAAAAGATCTTGAGTGGGTGCATGGATAGCAAGGCCACGGATTGGAGGAAGGAAGGATGGATGGGATCAAATGGGAAGAAATCCAAACTGATATGGAGCCACACCAATCATTTAAAGCACCCTTTAACCACCCTTTAACCTGGGTGGCACTGTGGTCTAAACCACAGAGCCTAGGGCTTGCCGATCAGAAGGTCGGCGGTTCGAATCCCCGCGACGGGGTGAGCTCCCGTTGCTCGGTCCCTGCTCCTGCCCACCTAGCAGTTTGAAAGCACATCAAAGTACAAGTAGATAAATAGGTACCACTCCGGCGGGAAGGTAAACGGCGTTTCCGTGCGCTGCTCTGTTTTGGCAGAAGCAGCTTCGTCATGCTGGCCACATGACCCGGAAGCTGTACGCCGGCTCCTTCGGCCAATAAAGTGAGATGAGCGCCGCAACCCCAGAGTCGGTCACGACTGGACCTAATGGTCAGGGGTCCCTTTACCTTTAACCATTATGGCTGTCCCCCAAGAATCCTGGGAACTGTAGTTTGTTAAAGTTCTCAGTGCCCTTTACAAACTCAGTATCTTTTACAAGCTTCAGGATTTTTTGGGCAGGAATTATTATTCCCACATTGCTGGGGGTTGGACTAGATGTGTCTTGGGATCCCTTCCAACACTACAATTCTATGATTCTAAAGTGGAATAAGAGTACTTCAAATGTAGGATGGGTAGGGTTGGCTCAGATTAAGCCAATATCTTTCCTGGTTCTTATCTCTCTCTCTCCCCCCGCCCCATTCTCTTCTTTTTTAGGAAATAGTTTGACTTAATGCAAAGTAAACGCAATCTGCCCAGTAGTGATGTATGGAAGTGAGAGCTGGACCTTAAAGAAGGCTGATCGCCAAAGAATGAATGCTTTTGAATTATGGTGCTGGAGGAGACTCTTGAGAGTCCCATGGACTGCAAGAAGATCAAATCTATCCATTCTGAAGGAAATCAGCCCTGAGTGCTCCCTGGAAGGACAGATCGTGAAGCTGAGGCTCCAATACTTTGGCCACCTCATAAGAAGAGAAGACTCCCTGGAAAAGACCCTGATGTTGGGAAAGATTGAGGGCACAAGGAGAAGGGGACGACAGAGGATGAGGTGGTTGGACAGTGTTCTCGAAGCTACCAGCATGAGTTTGACCAAACTGCGGGAGGCAGTGAAAGACAGGGGTGCCTGGCATACTCTGGTCCATGGGGTCACGAAGATTCGGACACGACTAAATGACTAAACAACAACAAAAATGCAGTCTGAGCCTGACTAAGCTTGTGCATCGCTTTCACAAAAGTAAAACCCCAAGGCTTCTTTGAGAGGAGCCACGATAGTGAAACCAGCACAGGGTTGTAACACAGAGATGGGCTTCAGGAGCCCAGAACAGAAGCGCTGAGCCTAAAAAGACATTAAGAACAGAAACAGCTTCGTAGATCAAAAGTTCCTTCCTGACAATGACAAAGTGGTAGTTCACCAAGGTTTCCGCATGAGCAAAGTGGCCTCTACAAGCATCATTTCACAAATCTTATTTACATTCCCCTTTTTTTAAACATTCATTTGTCATTCACTGTCAACAACAATTTCTCACTTCTGTTCTATGGGTGCTACCTGCAAAATGGCCCAGAGTATTTGCTGTTCTACAAGGGGCACATCGCAGGACGAGTTCAGACCTACCCCAAACCGAAGAGGAAAGAGTCACTAAACACATGACATTTGCTGCATTTGGCAGGTTGAGGAGAAGCTATTTGATTTACCGTATTTTTCGCTCTATAAGACGCACCAGACCACAAGACGCACCTAGTTTTTGGAGGAGGAAAACAAGAAAAAAATAATTCTGAATCTCAGAAGCCAGAACAGCAAGAGGGATCGCTGCGCAGCGAAAGCAGCAATCCCTCTTGCTGTTCTGCCTTCTGGGATAGCTGCGCAGCCTGCACTCGCTCCATAAGACGCAAACACATTTCCCCTTACTTTTTAGGAGGGAAAAAGTGAGTCTTATAGAGCAAAAAATAAGGTAAGTCTTCAGCTATACCCAATTCTGGAGCTTTCATCTGGTCCCTATTTCATTCAGGGAGCACAGCCTACTAAAATTCATTCAGATCAGCGATTCCCCAACTTTTTCCCCCCCATGGACCACTTGAGAATTGCTGGGGGTCTTGGAAGACCCCCCCCCCCATGGCTTTTCAGCCTGATGTAGCAATCGTAATGCACTGTGCTAGATGTTTTTGGTTTTTAATTGTATTTTTAATGCTTCTTTTTCTTCTTCCATATTGCATGACAATTGGAATTCAAATTACAATACAGAAAAATAAAAATAAAAAAGGCAATAGCTATTAAAAATATATAAATATTTAATCCCACAGATGTGCCACTTTCCATCTTCAAGCACAAATCCATGGACCACCTGAATGAAGCTCACAGAACGCCCATGGCCTGCTGACCACAGCTGGAGAGCCTTGATTTAGATCAGGGGTGCCCAAACTTTTTTCAAAGAGGGCCAGATTTGATGAAATGAACATGCGTGAGGGCCGATCAACGTTGTTTTAGGATTTTACCCCAGGACATACAGTGATACCTCAGGTTCCAAACACTTCGGGTTACAGACTCTGCTAACCTGGAAGTAGTACCTCAGGTTAAGAACTTTACCTCAGGATGAGGACAGAAGTAATTTCGTTGTCCCCGAGAGGGGGCAATGACAATAAAGATTTTTTATTATTATTAGAAATTGCGGCGCGGTGGCAGCAGGAGGCCCAATTAGCTAAAGTGGCACCTCAGGTTAAGAACGGACCTCCAGAACAAATTAAGTTCGTAACCAGAGGTACCACTGTATACTGAAATGGACTTTGGACATGCCTGGTTTAGATGCTCTGATTTTACCCAGGACAATGTTCTCGTTCTGTTTTGAGAATATATGTCTCATGAGGAAAATGATTGTGGTTTACCTCAGGTCCTATACTTATGTTGGGTCCATAAATGTACGCAACAATTTGGCAGGTGTGGTCAAATCCATGAGAGTGATGTTATCAGGCTCCTTTGACTTGGTCAGGTGTCTGTTAAGGGCTATTATTGACTCTTAAGATGGAGAAAATGTACCAAGTATCTTTCCGAGGAAAGGGCATCCATCACTGTGAGGAAAACATTTTGCACAGCGGGTGGAAGAGGAGCTTTATTGTCTCAAGGATAAAAAACAAAAAAAAGAAGGCCACCAGAAGAGAAGTGACCGTCAGGGGAGTAGAAGAGGAAAATTACTAAAGCAGCAGTCTTTTGGACAGGCTCAGGAGAGAAGAGCCAAGAGCACTGCGGCAAGAGAGGAGCTCACATTAATCAAGGAGAGAGAGATAGCCAGCTACAGACAGGAGCTTCACATACATAGAGCTAAATCTGGAAAAAGCAAACCAAAGAAATAACCTCCATGCGCTTTCGCTTAGAAGGCCTTCACTTCAGCAGGGTTCACCCCGTGGTTATTTCAGTAGACAAAATCGTTGAGCGGCAGCAAACTTTGCACTAAACTCTCTGAATAGGTGGCGCCGAGGTACACCAGAAAGCAGCCTTCGCCAAGAGCTAAAGGCTGTAGGGTACACAGCTATTAATGATAAGTTAACATGTGCTGTTAAGGTAAGATGGAGAAAACGCAGGAGAAATGATTTTGAGGCGATATGGAGGGTGTTTATAGAATTTGTACTGTTAAAACGGAAAAGGGTTAAACCATCAAAAGCGGTATTGAAATTTTGTGAGGTTGGATAGTTACAATGGAATGATCTTGGGAGTGGGGTGCACATTATTATTATTTATTATTATTACTTTGTCAAAATAAAAAATAAAAGCTAAAGGCTGCCTCCTTGCATTCTGAGAGTTGTTTGGAGACATCTCTTCCCCTCACAGAGCTCCAATTCCCAGAGTTCCCTTGGGAGAAGGAATGATTGTGAAACCACTCTGGGAATTGCAGCTCTGAGAGGGGAAGATGGCGTCTCTCAAGAATTCTCAGAACCCTAACTACTCTATGTTTCTTTGTGGGGAGCTGTGGCTATTTAAAGTGATATGATACCACTTTAAAAGTATAGCACAGATGGGATTCCCCCGCCCCATTTTCTCTCTATATACACACATATATACATATATACACACACATGCTATTTTTCTAGAAAAAGAGGTGCCAGAACTCACCATGAATGCCTCCCTTGTTCTCTTATAATGGCTCCAGCGGTGTAGCTAGCCGCTCAGGCACTCGGGAGGGGCAGGGCAACCCAAGCAGGGCACTCTGGGAGGAGCGTGCATGGAGTCCACCCGCCGCCTCCCCCTCAGCCGCTCTCCAGCTGAGGGGAAGGCGGCAGGCAGACACAAGCCCTACGGCACCCTTTTGAGGGGCACGGTGCCTGCAGGTGCCCAAGCCACCCAGTCACTCCCAGGAGAGACGTGTGGCTTGGGCACACTGAGGGCCCCCACAGTAAGTGCTGCCCCCTGGGTAAGCAGTGCCCAATGTGCCCTGCTCCTGCCTTGCCTCCTAGCTATGCTGCTGAAAGGCGCCCACCTGAGAGGTGCTGGAACTGAGTTCGTTCACACACACACACACACAAACAGAGTTCACACACACACACAGAGAGAGAGAGAGAGAGAGAGAGAGAGAGAGAGAGAGAGAGAGAGAGAGAGAGAGGTTGACTACCAAGCTCATGGCTGAAGTGATATTTGAATCATAGAATTGTGGAGTTCGAAGGATCGTCTAGTCCAACACCCTGCTAAAGTGGTACAATCATGAATCGCAGCTCACGCCCCAAGCCAATAGATTCCACACTTGTGTCAAATTCATGGAAGGAAGAGAAAGGGGGTTGTGAGAGAGTAAGACTGAAATGGAGGCTTTTGGATTGCACATGTAAATCTATCTATTCATCATGCTCTAATCCATTCGTTTAATCTACAGGTTTCCTAAAAAGAATCAAGATTTATGCATTCTCTCCAAAGGATATTCTCTGAGATAGTTGCTGCAGATTTTACAGCAGCCGTTTGGTTGGCAATCATTATGAATCTCAATGTACACCCCAGCAAATGTGGAAGAACCCATGCTGGTGCTTGTTTAATAACTGGCAAAATTACTAGGATAAAGTCAAAGCTGTAACTGTTAACAACCTAGGATTATCTAATATCTTCTGTAATAGCTCTATATATGCCTAGTCAGAGATGAAGATAAGTCCATTAAGGCTGCTACATACATTAGCAGAGTGGATAGCAAAATCATGTCTAGCCTGAGACTTTTACTACTGTTTGCTTTTGGACTGATTCATCAAGGCATTAAAATGTTCTCATAGGTGGGGGTAATGCACAGTTCAGGCCATTAAAACACAGTTTGATTCTTTAGTATCTTTTCAAAAAGTCACATTAAAAAAATGCTTTATGGAGTTAAATAATGCATGACACTGTTTCAAACCATTTTTAAGGAACTCATTCAAAATTCATCCTGGTACCCTGCAGGTGCTCCCCACTGGAACAGGAGCGGGGGTTTTTCCTTCCAAAGTTGTGCAAGGTTTCTTAGATTTCATCTCAAATTGCTTTATCTGTAAACCTGCGATGCACCTCAAACAAACGAGCAAACAAAATCATATCATAACAGAGTGATATGTTGACTAGTTACAATAGCGGGAAGTCCATTTAAGTCAGCGATTCCCAGACTGTGTGCCAGGAATTATGAAAAGGATGGAAATGTGCAAAAAAAACAACAACCAAGTGCTCCAAGCCTGGTGTTGGCATTGTAAAAGCACCACTGTAGCATAAGTGCTGCTTGTTCATATTTGCATTGGGACCCTAACCCCTTGGCTCATACTTCAACACCATGGCGAGACGTTCATGTGAAATAATGAAAGTTGGATAAACAGGTGTTATTACAGTATACAGTGGGTGTGCATAATGCATACTATAGCCAGAGAACAAACTGCCTGTTTGGACCACAGCAGGAAATTCAAAGGAAGGAAATAAAAGGCTGCTTTGGCATGCTTATATGTACACATCACTCAGTATGTTACGGCCAAATTTTTCAGCTACCACCACAGAAAACTATTGCATTTGAGTAGGTATCAGATTATATTAAACACACAGAGTGAGTGGGAGAGACACTTTTTATGGCACTTGAGGCAAGATACTTGCTTCACAGATGCAAGTCCCAAGTTTTAAAAAACTTTCAACGGCTTAGGGCACATTACACTCCAACCTCTTTCACCCGAACCTTTTGTCTTTGGCCATTAAGAATAAATTTGTTGCTGTCATTTTCTTTTTCTAATAGGGTCAAAATAGGTCATTGGATAAGTGTAAGGTTAGTTGCATAAATGTTAGAGGGGAATTGTGAAATAGTGTTACAAAGGAATTGGGGCAACTTGTGTTTTTAAACTGCTTATAACATTTATATCCCACCAGTGTGGTGTAGTGGTTAAGAGCTGTAGACTTGTAATCTGGGGAACCGGGTTCACATCTCTGCTCCTCCACATGCAGCTGCTGGGTGACCTTGGACTAGTCACACTTCTTTGAAGTCTCTCAGCCTCACTCACCTCACAGAGTGTTTGTTATGGGGGAGGAATCGAAAGGAGAATGTTAGCTGCTTTGAGACTCCTTTGGGTAGTGATAAAGCGGGATATCAAATCCAAACTCTTCTTCTTCTTCTTTCTTCCAAGAAGCTCAGTGGTACACACAGTCTCCACACACACCCCATCATTTTATCCTCACAACCACCCTGTGAAGTAGGTCAGGGTATGAGGGTTCGCCAAGGTCACTCAGTGAGCTTCATCCAATGGCCGAGTGGGGATTTGAACCCAGGTTTCCCACATCCTAGTCTGACACACTGAAATGACCTCACCACCCTGACTTCCTTGTGCTATTTGCAGAATTGGAAGAAAACCACATTTTGCTTCAGCAGCTGCAGTAAGAATGGCCATGAATCAGTGATATATTGTTTGCAATTAATGTTCCAGCCTCACCTGCCATCAATTAATTAGTCTGAGCCGAGGATCATCTTGAGAGCAATTTGTGTTCTAGTGTTCCAACCCATTTTACAAATCAATAAAAACAATGCAATCCTTCCTTCACCACCGTTCCCTTTCCAACAGGTTTGTAATACAGAATTTACTTCTCACCCTTGCAGTGGGGAAATGCTGTGCCAAATCCATTCCTGGTGTTTAGTTTATTTCAGTCTGCTGAGTTATACCAATAATTACCATTTCTTCAGTTACATTTTTGGCACGAACTCCCCGGTAAACATTACTGAAACAGATTGGCGCAATATCCTATATTCAGGGTGCCTGTATGCTACAAATCAATGCAAACTCACAGCTTAGGACTAGCACCCTCCAATCAATATGGAAGTAATAAGGTATTATCACATAGGGCAACCAAGCATGCTATTATATAATATCAAGGCACAGCAGAGTCTGGTTTTTGGTGTTGTTGACAGAAGGGTAAATCTCCACATGTATAAACTCCTTTGTTCACGCAGCTACTTGTTCACAGCAACTGAGCTGAACCACTGAGTGTGTCCTCTCGTTCTGGCATTTCACAGGAGTAAAGATCAGAACAGCGTCTCGACATCCAAAAATGTCAAAATCACCTTGAACCCGGAAAAATCTAACATCACTAATACAGGAATGTTTTTAAAGTAATCACGCAGCCAGCGAGGACATACAATGCAAAATGGAATAAAAAGAGAGTAACAGTTTACACTGTCACAGCTACACAAACGGTGAAATAGGCAAGAGATAGAGACTGCTGGGATAGGGATGCGGGTGGCACTGTGGGTGAAACCACAGAGCCTAGGACTTGCCGATCAGAAGGTCGGCGGTTTGAATCCCCGCGACGGGGTGAGCTCCCGTTGCTCGGTCCCTGCTCCTGCCAACCTAGCAGTTCGAAAGCACGTCAAAGTGCAAGTGGATAAATAGGTACCGCTCCGGCGGGAAGGTAAACGGCATTTCCATGCGCTGCTCTGGTTCGCCAGAAGTGGCTTAGTTATGCTGGCCACATGACCCGGAAGCTGTACGCCGGCTCCCTCGGTCAATAAAGTGAGATGAGCGCCACAACCCCAGAGTCGGTCACGACTGGACCTAATGGTCAGGGGACCCTTTACCTTTACCTAGAGACTGCTGGGGTCATCTTGTCTGCTTTGAGACAATGTCATCTAACCCAGGGTTGCCATATTTCAAAAACTGAAAATCCGGACACAAAAGTTGTTGAGCTTGAATGAAGTTTTTGAGCTATTTTTAAGGAAATATGCCAAAATCTAGATTGCCATACGTCCAGATTTTCCCAGACAGTTAAGCAAAACTGTTTGGCAACCCCAATCTAACCTCCCTGCGAGTAAATAAGGATAAATGCTCAATAAGCAGATCACTAGGCACTACCCCATGTTTGCTGACCAGCTGCTGCAAGCTGCAAACTGTTGATGGGCTTCTGCTCTGACTTTTTATGGAGTTTTTTTTCTTTAAACCAGACTGGACAGCTCTCAAATAGAGAACTATCCTCTGTAAAGCAGGGCGCATAACCACCCTGGAGGTAGAGGTGCCTTCCTAACACCTTTTTAGAGTAGTTATGGGATCTGGGAGAACAAAGAGGGGGCCTAGACCTACTCTAGAAATATTTCTCCCTCTGCTGAATGTGGCAGTTCCTAGGAAGATGCCAAGGGCAGCAGATATCCACTTGTTCCTTAACAAGATCCCCAAAACATCAGTCTCATATCCTTCTGCCAAGGAAAAAACATGCTACCTGAATGCTAACCACATACCTCCTAATCAGCCATGAGTGGCAGATTACTGATGCTAGTTTGCTTTGCTAATAAATAAAGCCTTTGTTCAGGAGGGCTTTGTTCTTTGGCAAATTTAAACACCTTGTTCTTTCCTGTCATTTACAGATACTGGGAGATGTGTCACTGGTGATGTAAAAGCAAACAAAGTGACAATGTAGAAAGCTGCATCACACCAACGGTACAAAGAATGAGGTTGAAGGCATACTTCAAGTCAAAAACCGATTGCAGCCTTCTATGAGCTGTCAGAACAGGCCAAATGGGAATATGGAAAAAATAGGTTACTTTATTTACACAGTTTGTATTCCACCTTCCACCATAAGATTTAGTCCTGATTTTAATTGGTTTTGAACCACTTGTTTTAAACTTTTTAATTGATAACCTCTAAGGGGTTTACAGTGGGACGCGGGTGGCGCTGTGGGTTAAACCACAGCGCCTAGGACTTGCTGATCAGAAGATTGGCAGTTCGAATCCCCCTGACAGGGTGAG